TATATATATATATATATATATATATATATATATATATATATATTCCTCATCCCTGCCAACCCCCCAATTCCAAAAGGCACATATATTATCATTAACTCTTGTATGTTGGCAACTGATGAATCACTTTTTTTCTCAAATGCACATCTCTAAACTCTCTTCAAAGGAATCTAGTGGAGAAATTAATAAATAGATGTCACTAAGCCTTGAATTGAAAGGGAAGATGTAAAATTAGGAGCCACTTTAGCATCCCATTTGTTGTCTAAAGCACCATGAGTACTCATATGACCTTATTCTAGAGCCTTTAGTTTTCTAGAGGCAAGCACCACGACCATTTATCAAGCAAGGCAGTATTTCTAAGTAGCAGATTTCCTATTTCCAAACCTCACCACTCCTTTGCCCTACACACCACTTCCTATTTTACTAGGTGATCTTTCTCTTTATCCCCCAGTTCCCATAAAAAGTCTCTCATGTATTTTTCTAACTTCTTTGCCACCTTAACTGGTATGTGAAAAGTGGAGAGGAAATAGGTGGGTAAGTTGGCCATTATGGATTTAGTCAAAGTTATCCTTCCCCCAAGTGAGATATAGTTTCTTTTCCACAAGGCCAACTTTTTTTATGATAAGTAATGAACGATTTTATTAATAATAAGAAATCATAAATCATAAGAAAGCTACCCACAAAGAGGCACAAGATACAGCCTCAGATCAACACAAAGAGTTACAATTTAGCCCAACAAAGCTGATTCCTATGCACCCCTCGTTTGGCTAGAGAAACTACTAATCCATTTGCCTGTCTCCTTTCCCAATGAAAACTGACTGTCATATTTGTGGTTAGCTATTTGAACTTCTCAAAACCCCCCTATAAGACCATGCTACTGTTTCTAGTTCTTTCAACCATTCAATTACCAATTTGGAGTCACCTTCAATTAACAGCTGTTCACAATTCAGTTCTTGGACTTCTGCATTAACTGAATCCCCCACTCCAATAGGACCAGAATATAAAGCAACAATTAGACCCACTGCATTTCTAGACACTTCCCCAATACCAGAAGGCCCTGGATTGCCAAAACCACTACCATCAAAATTGAGCTTGATGACGCCTTCAAGAGGTTTCCATTCCATAATTCTCACACTAGAGCTTTTGGCAACCAACTCCTAGTTTCTCCATGAATCATCAAAGGACAAAGTAGAAAAAGGGTCGAAAGCCTTCACCCAGTTGATGGCTCTATTAATTAAAAATTCCCAAACACTAACCTCATCCCTTTCCTTCTCATCAAAGATTCTGGTATTTCTTTTCTCCCAAACAATCCAAAGCAAGGCAGCCCTAGCACACCTCTACAAGGCTCTACCGCTTCTCTTAGGCCACCTAAAGGTTGTGAGTTCAAATGGATTGCTAATCTGCAACGGCATTGTCCACCTACACCCAAAAAGACTAAAAAGCTTCTCCCAAAAACCTACAACGAAAGGCTAGGAGATTAGTAAGTGGTAACAATTTTTCCCACAAGGCCAACTTCTTAGCAAACCTTTCCATCACTGGCTACAATAAAAGGCTAGGGAAACTAAGGTACTCCAATGGCCAAGTTTTAACTTCACACCCTAATAGATTTGCATAATTGAATATCCCATCTTCATGTAAGTTAATACTTTCCACTCCACTCTTCCTTGGGTTCATTGTCAAATTTGAGGCCTTTGCAAACAACAAGACTAACTCCTTCAAGTTCCTATCGTAATTGTCATTAGAATCATTCCCACCTTCATAAAAAATAATTGTCACTAGCAAGTTGAAGGTGTGCAATAGCCATCTCCTCTCCGTCAAGGGTGGACACGAACCGAGCTTTTCACAAGCTATTCAAGCTCGATTCATGAAAAGCTCAATTTGGCTCGGTCTAAACTGAGTTTTCTAGCCAAGCTCAAGCCCAATGAAGCTTGGATTGTGAAGCTCAAAAGCCTAGTTGAGCTTATATTATATATAACATTTTTATATTATATATAATCGTTTATATGTATAATTTTTTCCTTTTATATGAACCTTGGCTCATCGTCGAGCTTGAGTTGATCCAAGCTCAAAATATGAGCTTTTGAGTCAATTTAAATTCAAGCTCATGTTTCTATCTCAACCCTTATTTTTGTTATAGGAAAAGAAGAAAATAAAAAGTATTGGTAGTAGTAGTAGTAGTAGTAGAAGAAGAAGAAGAAGAAGAAGAAGTGGAAGAAGAATATATGGAAGAGGAAAATGTGTTGATTATATAAAATTTTAAGTTCTTACTTATTGGTTCAGGTTTTTAAGTCTTTGAGGGTTCAATACAGCATTTAGCAATGTTTGTGTTGATTAAACCCTAATACATAAGAAAATAATAAAAAGAAATTAGTATATAAACACACAAAATGATTATTTTAGTTTAATAATGTCCATTTTATAATTATAATCTCAAAAAATAATGAATAAAAAAAAAGTATTTTATAGTAAGAAGTAGAAAACTGCTTGGCAATTAGGCGAAGCGAGCCTCAAAGTGCGCCTTGTCGCCTAGGTGTCGCCTTGACAACTATGGTCTTAACTCTTCAGGGTGGCTTCCAATTTGTGCAACTTCAGGCCAAGATCTCATAATATTGCTGATTGAAAAGATTCTGAAAGTCTCCAAAGTTTTTACCCTGTGTGCAGCTCTGATTAGGATAGCTTCCAACAACTAATCCTTTGATCTGCTCTTTTCATTGAAGATTATATTATTTCTTCCTTCCCATATTGTCCACACCACGACAGCTCTTACTGTCCTCCACATGATCTTCCCTCTTTTTTCCTTGAACCTTAGGAAATTGGTGTTGAATAAACTTACCACTTCTTGTGGGGGGACCCATATGCAACCAAATAGAGAACAAAAATATTCCCAAACACAAAATACTAGAGGACATAAGATTAAGTGAGAAATAAATTCTCCACAAGCCTTACAAAGGACACACATACAAGGAGATAGGCAAGAATTGGGCCTCCTTTTCTGTAGCATATCATAGGTGCTAACCTTACCAAGAAATACTTCCTAGTACAGAGCTTGAATTTTAGGTGGAATGGGTTTACACCAAATTTCTTTGATTCTTTCATTGGGAAGGCCACCCCCCAAGAGGTGGAGTTAACTAAGAGGTTAAAAAAGAAGCACGAGAGAACGATCCATTAGAGGAGGGGGTCCAGACCCTAACATCAGGTGAGTTTTGGTCCAAGAACATAGTCACCAAGAAGATTAGCTTCCATCAAAGTTCAACTTCACCATTTGTTGTGCTGGTGGGGACCAAACTTCCTGTATCATAGCTCTGGAAGTAGTAATAGATGCCACAATACCCCAACTTCTATAAATGTCTTCAATTGAGAAATCCTTAAAAAGATCACAAGATTTCAATTGATGGATAACCTTAGTAGTTATTCCTTCCACAACCTCTTCCTTGGATCTACAACTGCCTTTGAAGATCCTATTGTTTCTTTCCTCCCATACTGACCACAATACAGCAGCTCTAGTGACTTTCCACATAATCCTTTCACAAATCGTTGGTTGCCTGTAAAAAGCTGGATCAAAGAAGTTCACCATGCTTGAGGA